GTGGTCTGAACACGTCAGGCCGGAAGGTCGAATAACCCCCTTGCAAGAGCGTTCGAGCAGCCCCCAGGGAGCTTCCCAGCAGATCGAGCAGCCCCAGAAGGGGCTCCCCAGCAGCCCGGGGAGTCCGAAATGCGTTCGGGGGGGATGTGTGTGCACATGTGAATGTATCTTGCGTGTGTATGCATGTGCATGTGTATGTATGTATGTACGTATGGATATAAAATGACAACGGCTTCCGATGTCTGCACGTCCCAAGAGCGTTTGACGCTCGCTTTACACGGTAAGTTGTTGTTAAACGATGTCGGCATCCGTGCAGTAGTTGCTTTGCAAGGAAATTCCATGTAAAACGCTCTTGGGCCGTCTTGGGCCGTTCGTGGCCCGAAAAAACGAAAACCGAAAAAAACTTCAAACCTTTCTTCAGCAAGTCAATGCATTCTGTCTCTTTGGGCCTTCTTGGGTGCCATTTTTGTTTTCCTCCTTTTGTTCCCTGCGCAGAAACGGTGAAGTATCTGGGGTGCGCACTTGACAGCTGAAACGATGTAGGAAAAGAAATCAGCGCTCGCATCAGGAACTGCCACCAGACGATGCATCGACTTGACGCGCTTTGGCTGCACAGCGACTGCACCGTGCCACACCAAATACAAATGTTCCATGCAGTTTGCAGGTCCAAGCTGCTGTACGGCTTGGAGACCACCCAGCTCACACCGGGGCAGTCCCAGCGGCTCGACGCATTTCAATTGCAAGGTCTCCGCAAGATCCTTGGGCTCTCCACCACGTACGGGCAGATGGCCCGCGGCCAGGACCGCACAAACACGAACGAGTTCATCTTCAGCCAAGCACAGAATGCCTTCAACGATAGGAGACCCCACAGAACCCTCGAGCGCTTCAGTTCCGTATGCGAAAAAAACAAGTTCGCCGGGCCCAATCTCGGGAGCAAAACCGCCCCGAGAGGAAGGAGGAGAGGCCGAGAGCGATCTCGAGGAGAAGGACGGGGGGGCACGAGCACGACCGCCATCCCACCACCATGCCGCCGGCGAGGACACCGGTTAGGCGGCTGGCGACGCGGCCATCCTCGCTGTGCGAGGGCTGGGAGCAGATGCTGGTAGCGCGCCCAGGTGGCCTCCTCCTCCTCCCCTCCTCCTCCTCCTCCTCCTTCCCCCATCCAGACAGGCAACGTGCACGGGCAAGGCACACAAAATGCGGTCGCGATGCCCTCTACAAGCCGCCGACAGCACCCTGAGCGACCATGCCGAGCTCCGGGCGGAAGTCTTCGCATGCATCACTAAATGCCGTCGGGGTGGCCTGTCAGCTGGCAGTCGCGCCTGGTCTTCATATTCACCGTCCTCTCAAAAAGCTTCATGACGACATCCGCGTCGCCGTTGTAGGAGAAAATGTTGCATCCGAAACATTGCCTGATGTGCCAATAGGCAATAGGCACGGCACGTGCGGGGTAAACGGCAGGGCCGCCGCCAAAAAGACGAATTCAAGGGCGTCGCGCCCTCAACTGCAGGAGTAGCTGGCAAGGATTACCGCGCAGCGTCTTTCAAGACGCGCCGGGCCCAATCTCGGGAGCAAAACCGCCCCGAGAGGAAGGAGGAGAGGCCGAGAGCGCTCTCGAGGAGAAAGACGGGGGAGCACGAGCACGACCGCCATCCCACCACCATGCCGCTGGCGAGGACGACGGCGAGGCGGCTGGCGACGCGGCCATCCTCGCTGTGCGAGGGCTGGGAGCAGATGCTGGTAGCGCGCCCAGGTGGCCTGCTCCTCCTCCCCTCCTCCTCCTCCTCCTCCTTCCCCCATCCAGACAGGCAACGTGCACGGGCAAGGCACACAAAATGCGGTCGCGATGCCCTCTACAAGCCGCCGACAGCACCCTGAGCGACCATGCCGAGCTCCGGGCGGAAGTCTTCGCATGCATCACTAAATGCCGTCGGGGTGGCCTGTCAGCTGGCAGTCGCGCCTGGTCTTCATATTCACCGTCCTCTCAAAAAGCTTCATGACGACATCCGCGTCGCCGTTGTAGGAGAAAATGTTGCATCCGAAACATTGCCTGATGTGCCAATAGGCAATAGGCACGGCACGTGCGGGGTAAACGGCAGGGCCGCCGCCAAAAAGACGAATTCAAGGGCGTCGCGCCCTCAACTGCAGGAGTAGCTGGCAAGGATTACCGCGCAGCGTCTTTCAAGACGCGCCGGGCCCAATCTCGGGAGCAAAACCGCCCCGAGAGGAAGGAGGAGAGGCCGAGAGCGCTCTCGAGGAGAAAGACGGGGGGGCACGAGCACGACCGCCATCCCACCACCATGCCGCCGGCGAGGACGCCGGCGAGGCGGCTGGCGACGCGGCCATCCTCGCTGTGCGAGGGCTGGGAGCAGATGCTGGTAGCGCGCCCAGGTGGCCTGCTCCTCCTCCCCTCCTCCTCCTCCTCCTCCTTCCCCCATCCAGACAGGCAACGTGCACGGGCAAGGCACACAAAATGCGGTCGCGATGCCCTCTACAAGCCGCCGACAGCACCCTGAGCGACCATGCCGAGCTCCGGGCGGAAGTCTTCGCATGCATCACTAAATGCCGTCGGGGTGGCCTGTCAGCTGGCAGTCGCGCCTGGTCTTCATATTCACCGTCCTCTCAAAAAGCTTCATGACGACATCCGCGTCGCCGTTGTAGGAGAAAATGTTGCATCCGAAACATTGCCTGAGGTGCCAATAGGCAATAGGCACGGCACGTGCGGGGTAAACGGCAGGGCCGCCGCCAAAAAGACGAATTCAAGGGCGTCGCGCCCTCAACTGCAGGAGTAGCTGGCAAGGATTACCGCGCAGCGTCTTTCAAGACGCGCCGGGCCCAATCTCGGGAGCAAAACCGCCCCGAGAGGAAGGAGGAGAGGCCGAGAGCGCTCTCGAGGAGAAAGACGGGGGGGCACGCGCACGACCGCCATCCCACCACCATGCCGCCGGCGAGGACGCCGGCGAGGCGGCTGGCGACGCGGCCATCCTCGCTGTGCGAGGGCTGGGAGCAGATGCTGGTGCTGGCAGGTCTGACAACTCGCAGCGGGCGCTGCCAGGCATGGCCAGTGACAAGGGTGGCAGGAGGCCTGCAAGCCGCGACCCTGAGTGCGGCCCCACCTTGGGCACTGGCGGCGACGGCAGCCAGGCCCACCGCGTGCGGCGACGATTTACGGCCTGGGCCAGGGGTGGCAGGGGACCTGCAATGTGCGCGCGTGAGTGCGGCCCCGCCCTGAGCCCAGGATGCGACGAGGACCGCGACGGCAAGGGTATGGCCAGCGCCAGGGGTGGCAGGGGACCTGCAAAGTGCAGTCCTGTGTGCGGCCCCGCCCTGGGCACTGGCAGCGGGTCTCTGGAAGCGGCGTCGCCTGAGGAGGACCAGCGGCAGCCGCAGCTGGCTTCTGGGGAGGCGTGTCCACGTGCAGCTACGGCTGGTGCCAGGGGTGGCAGGGGACCTGCAGTCTGCGGTCCTGAGTGCGGCCCCGCCCTGAGCACCAGCACCCACCCCGAGCGGCGACGGATTACGGCCTGGGCCAGGGGTGGCAGGGGACCTGCAATGTGCGTGCGTGAGTGCGGCCCCGCCCTGAGCCCAGGAAGCGACGCGGACCGCGACGGCATGTGCATGGCCAGCACCAGGGGTGGCAGGGGACCTGCAAGTGCCGACCGTGTGTGCGGCCCCGCCCTGAGTGCTGGCAGAGTTGCGGTGGCTCGGCCTGAGCCAGCGCAGCCGAGGCGCAGCGTCGCGCCCAGGCTTGAGCTGCAGGTCGCTGGATGGGCGCGGTACTGGACCCAGGCTCCCGAGGTCGGCGAGACGATGGAGTGCCACAGCGAGTGGCTCGACCACTGCGTCGGCTACGTCACGCAGATCCTGTCCCAGCCGCGCTTCGCCACCAGGCTGCGGGCGCGTGGGAGGACGGCCGAGGAGATGGCCGAGGAGATCTGCGAGCGGGCCTGGGGGACTGGCATGCCCGCGAGGCGGGCCTACTACAGGTGGCGCCACACGCTGACGCGGTCGCAGAGGATCGTGTCGGACTGCATGCGGCGCTACGACTACGTGTGCCTGCGGACGTGGCTGGCCGAGCTGCGGCGGGAAGGGCAGCCACCGCCCATTGGCCCGCTCAGAGCGCCTTCGGTGCCGTGGAATGCGGGACGCAGGAGGCGACGGAGAAGTGGTTGAGGGTCGGCCTCTCCTGGCACGGGCAGCCGCTGCGTGGCGTTCTGGCCCCAGCGGCTCGCCGCACGGCGCTGCGCGGCGGTCTGGCCCCAGCGCGCCGCCCTTCGCGTCCGTCGACGTGATCGGCATCACTGGCCTCCCCTGAGGCTGCGGCCCCCTGGCCGCCTGTGCTGCGTCTAGTTGGCCTGGCCGACGCGACGTCCTGCCGCTGCTCTCCGCTGCTCTCCTCCTCCTTCCCCCATCCAGACAGGCAACGTGCACGGGCAAGGCACACAAAATGCGGTCGCGATGCCCTCTACAAGCCGCCGACAGCACCCTGAGCGACCATGCCGAGCTCTGGGCGGAAGTCTTCGCATGCATCACTAAATGCCGTCGGGGTGGCCTGTCAGCTGGCAGTCGCGCCTGGTCTTCATATTCACCGTCCTCTCAAAAAACTTCATGACGACATCCGCGTCGCCGTTGTAGGAGAAAATGTTGCATCCGAAACATTGCCTGATGTGCCAATAGGCAATAGGCACGGCACGTGCGGGGTAAACGGCAGGGCCGCCGCCAAAAAGACGAATTCAAGGGCGTCGCGCCCTCAACTGCAGGAGTAGCTGGCAAGGATTACCGCGCAGCGCCTTTCAAGACGCGCCGGGCCCAATCTCGGGAGCAAAACCGCCCCGAGAGGAAGGAGGAGAGGCCGAGAGCGCTCTCGAGGAGAAAGACGGGGGGGCACGAGCACGACCGCCATCCCACCACCATGCCGCCGGCGAGGACGCCGGCGAGGCGGCTGGCGACGCGGCCATCCTCGCTGTGCGAGGGCTGGGAGCAGATGCTGGTAGCGCGCCCAGGTGGCCTGCTCCTCCTCCCCTCCTCCTCCTCCTCCTTCCCCCATCCAGACAGGCAACGTGCACGGGCAAGGCACACAAAATGCGGTCGCGATGCCCTCTACAAGCCGCCGACAGCACCCTGAGCGACCATGCCGAGCTCTGGGCGGAAGTCTTCGCATGCATCACTAAATGCCGTCGGGGTGGCCTGTCAGCTGGCAGTCGCGCCTGGTCTTCATATTCACCGTCCTCTCAAAGAGCTTCATGACGACATCCGCGTCACCGTTGTAGGTGAACATTTTGCATCCGAAACATTGCCTGAACCCGCCCACCGTGTTCGCCTGCTGGACAAAAGCCTCTCTGCAGAGCCTCTTCACTGAGACATGAATTTCCTCGTTGCAGATAATACCAAAGCTCAGTGCCAGGCAGAACTCGAAGTAGCACCACCCTCGATCGATGTATGGCTTCTCTAAACAAAGCCCCTCCATGGGAAGCACGATGACAGGCACGCTGCTGGTGGAGTACATCATCGACATGGAATCAAGGGCTTTACTGAATAATGCATCTTCTTCCGCTGAACGCACGGCCGGATGCGTGCCAGGCGCAGGCCACGAGCCTTCCTCTTCCAACAGCTGCAACTCGGCATCTGCGCCGTTATGCTGGGGCGTGCTCAAAAAATCCATGAAGACGCCGTCTTGGTCGGCGGCGCCAATGGCGTCGAGCTGGTCGACGAGGCATCGAAGCTTACTGCCATCGGGATCAGGGTGATGCTTGGATAACCATGGGTGTGACACTACGAAGCGGCCCTTCGTGTGGGTCCGGAGTGCCGGAAACCCAGCGCTCCCCATGATCACTTCGTTCAGTGGGACGTCTTGACACCGAACCATGATTGACCCAGCAGCGGAGAGTCGACGCAGGTAGCCGCACTTGATCCATTTGATCTGCGCCTCGTCGAAATAATCAAGGAACTGGAGGTAGAAATCCTGCAGCTGGTCGTCGCTGAAGGCGTTGATGGCGACGAAGGCTGTTTGCGCCATGGCCTGTAGCCGAGCTGGTCCAACCAGCCCAGAAAACATGACGACGCCAAAACAGTCCATGATGGTATCCACGAACGCAGCGGCGGCTGAATCTGGACGGGACGTCTCTGGGTCCGACTCGAAGTAGAAAACTGCGCACACCATCGTGCTGATAAACGACCCGAATACAGCCACAAACGTCAGCGCCACATAAGCACCGGCATGCTTCTGCGACCTGCTGGTGGATCGTATCGCGAACGCTGCGCTTGCCGCCATGGCGCGCAGCCCGACACAATGCACGATCGCGAGAAGGACGTGCCCGGTCATCTCCATGAACCTCGCGAACAGATTGCGCTCGAAGTGGCCGGGCATGTAATAGTATACATTAGCGATAGACCAGGAAGATACAACCCCAAGTAAGCACCATTTCATAATATGGACTGCCCTTTCGTAGCCCAGCTGCTGTATCTTAGCCATGAATAGATGTACAGAATCACCTTACCAAATGTCCACATCGTGCCCATCACCAGGCCACCAATGGCCCGTACAAGAGTCTCTTTTGGTAGGCATGAGTACAGCGGGAGCGCGTAGATAAACATCACCGAGGTAGAACCCGTTATTATTCCATAGCGCCACGACCAGAGATGCAGCGTGGCGTTGCTGAAACGATGTCGCTGGTGAACGCACCATGCTAAGATCGCGAGGTTGGGTGCGAAGGTGCAAGTCAACCGCAGATTGAGAATCTGCGCGTAACGCAACTCAGCATTGTTTGCACATTGGTAGCTCACGATAAGGGCGACGACGAACGAAGTGGTCAAAACGACGGCGATCCCTAGGGAGAGCATCGCGAAGTTTGGGCAGGCAGTCGTGCGATGAGAAATGTTTCCGTTTGGCGAAGACAGAGTTCAGCGCGAGGAGGCCGCGCGCGCTCTTGAGCCAATTGCTTAAGCCAAAATGGCTACGGCCTTCTCGGGTGCCATTTTGGGTCGTTTTGGGACTCTCTTGGGCCGTTTTGGGGCGTCTTGGAGGCCTTCGGCCGTCTTCGGGCTGTCTTGGGGGCCTCTTGGGGCCCTCTTGGGAGCCTCTTAGGGTGCTCCTGAGGCTCTCTTGGGGCCGTCTTGGGGCTTCCTCCGTAATTTTTCGGGCTCTCTTGGGCCGTTTAGGGGCCCTCTTGGGCCGTTTTCGAGCCCTTTGGGGGGCCTCTGGGGCCTTGTTGGGACGATCTTTGGAGCCTCTTGGGCCGTTCTTGTCCGGGAAAAGCGAAAACCGAAAAAGCCTTCACAAACCATGAAAACATCAATGGATTTTGCCTCTTCGGGCCCTCTTGGGAAGCCTCTTGGAGGCCTCTTGGGGCGTTTGGAAGCCATGTTGAAGGTTTTGGTGTGCTTTGGAACTGTCGACGAGCTGTCTTGGGCAATATTGGAGGCCTCTTTGGACATTCCGAGAAGGCCGGAAGGCCGAAAGAACCCTTTGCACGGGCGTCCGAGCAGCCCAAGGGGGGGCTTCAAGCAGCCCAGGGAGTCGGAAATTCGTTTATGTGGGGTGGGGGGGTGCGCTTTTTCCTGGGTCCCCGGCCATATAACATATATAGATAGGAACATGTGTAACGCATGCACATATCTATACAGATGTGTGTATATATATATATATACATACACATGTGTGTATAGAGAGAGAGGGAGAGAGAGAGAGAGAGAGACAGGGAAAGACAGAGAGATCTTACAACTTACGCAGTGAAGAAAGCACAGTGCATGTTCAAAATAAGCCAGGGCGGGAGGAGGGCCGATCAAGGTACATCCTAAAACTGCAAAGCTGCACGGATTAGTTGGTCATGATATTTTAAAATGCGATGGCCGACCGCTTGTTCTACGATCGCGGACTCACACCATGGTTTCAAGGCGATCCCCCGAGGACTCAGCCACACCTATCTTATAAGTCTACGGTGTTTGCAAGTACTGCCCCGAGGTGCCCATGAGAGACCCCAACATGGCACCAACATGATCCAACATGAGTGACCGCACGGTGGCCCTGACATGCTGCAATATGCCTCAACCAAGCCCCACATGTCCCAACAAGACCTACCGACGGTATTACGGTGGCCCACACATGATATCAACATGGCCTCGCGATGCCCCGAGATTGTTTAAATAATCTGATATGACCTCACGTAGGCTCGACAACGTTTCCCACACTGCAGGCCTCAAGCAAGCGAATCCATCAGAGCCAGCGGCAGAATACGAATGCCTTTAGATGCCCGAGATCCCATGTCGGGCTCGAGTTTGCCATAGCATTCAGGTCAATCAGAGCACAACACACTTGCGACATTACGAACGACGGGTGAGATGACTTGGAACGTCTTCCTAACCGTTCACAGCTTGCACCCCTCACCAACACAAATAATAAAAACCTGAGGCGCTTCCGAAACTCTGGCAGCGATGCGGCCCAACGACCCAAATACATCACACCCACCAGTGCATTTGCGACATTACGAACAACGCGTGTAACGCCTGCGAACGTGATCCTAAACGTTCGCACATGGCACCCATCACCAACACACACACACACATTACGAACACCTGAAGTACTCCAGAAATTCCGGATTTAATCCTGCCCCTCGACCCCAATACATCACGCCCGCCCAGCACACCTGCGACATTACGAGCAACAGGTGCGATACCTGAAAACGTGTTCCTACACGTTCGCAAGTGGCCCCCATCGCCAACACACATGACGAACACCTGAAGCACTTCCACCACTCCGGCAGCAATGCTACCCAGCAAACCAAACATATCACGCCCGCCCAACACACCTGCGGCATTACGAACAGCGAGCGGGTGCGATGTCTTGAAAATGTGATCACGAGCACATACCACGAAAACCTGAAGCACGTCCGAAACTCCAGCGTGAATGCTGATCTGCGACCCAAACACATCACGCCCGCCGAGCTCACTTGCGACAGAACGCGCAGCGGGTGAGATGCCTTGAGCACGGGTTCCTAAACGTTCGCAACTAGCATTAGATCGGGCATGTCCCTCTACAGGGGGATTCGACGAAATTAGAAACATGCAACAAATACACAAAAACATATGCAAACATTGTCAAACAAAAACCTTCCCCAGACAATTGTTTTACTATGTTTGACCTTTCCCCCTGTAGAGGGACAGGCCCGACTTAAAGCTAGCACCCATCACCAACACAAACACACACACCACGAAATCCTGAGGCGATTCCGAAACTCTGGCGATGATGCTTCCCTGCGACCTACATACCTTGCGCCCGCCCGGTCGTCCTGTTGCTTGAGCTGGTCGCTCGAGAGGAGGTACGGGTTGCTCTTTGGCGCAGCCTGGCCGCGCAGAGCATCGTGTCGTCGACGAGACATCGCAAACGAAGAAACCGGGAATGATCACGCGCAAAGCAGCACGGGCAACACGGAAGCCTGCCGCGACAGTGGGCACAGGGGGCGAATTTTGCGTTAAGACCCCGCTCTAGCGTGGTCCCACCAGCACAATCAAATGACATTAACCGAGTCGTCCCTCATGACTATACCCCAACGGTTGAAACCTGACACCGCCGTCACCCCTCCACACCACTCGCCATCCCTCGGACGTCTATTCCCTGTGCTTTTTTCGGTTTCGTGCGTGGCTTTTTCACCAAATGGTCAAGGATGCTCCTCGATGGTCCTCGCCGAAGGAAAAATGCACACGTACGAGCGATGCCAAGACTGGGAAATTATGTTCGTGGAGCTGCTCCCCCGTGCGACCAAGCGTCGGCCCTCAAGAGCAGTTGCTGAATCAAGGCACTTTCGCGGGCAGACGAAGCGCTGAACTGTGCCAACCGCGGAGGCCACGCAGAAGAGAAGAACACTGCATGAACACGCACCTGCGGCGCTCCGCGCGAACTTCGTGGATCTGCGCTGCGCCCCCCTCGCCGGAGGCGCCGCTGTGGGGGAGGGGAGGGGCAGCGCGGATCCAACAAATCCGCGCAGAGCGCCAACAGTTTCTGTTCAGGGCGTCTTTTCTTCTTCTTCTTCTTCGAGAGAGAGTGTGTGAATGAGGCCCTGGGAGACACACAAAGAAATGCACACAAATACAAGGATCCCCCACATCTTCCCCAGATCTTCTGGATCTTCGTCTTCCCCCCCCCACTTCCCATAGTTCCCCATCTTTCCCCGGGGATCGACGATTCCTTGTGTCTGTGTGCTTGTGTTCCCTCTCCCGAGCGGGGGCCGCACGGCGGCTCCGAGGCCGGGCTCGGCCTCCGGCTGGTCCTCCACCAGCAGCTTCGCGGCCGCGAGCCCGACGCTCGAGCCGCTCCTCCGCACTCCCCCCCCCCCCCTGTCGGGCAGCGCCGGCAGACAGCACGCCCCCGATCCCGGCTGGGCCCAGCCTGGAGGAGGAGGAGGAGGAGGAGGAGGAGGAGGAGGAGGAGGGCAAGGAGGAGGAGGAGGGCAAGGAGGAGGAGGAGGAGGAACTAGGCGCTGTCGGGCAGCGCCGGCGGAGCACGCCCCCGATGGCGGAACTCGCATGGCATCGCCGCCGCATTTTGGCACGCCCTTCGCACGCGTCGTGGCCTCACAGTGGCGGAACTCGCAGGACGGCACCGCCCCATATCTGTACACCTCTCACACGCTTCGTGGCTCCATAGGGAGGTCCACCGAAGGCCCCAGTGGCAGGGTTCGCATGGCGGTCCTGGCTGGGCCCCTCCTGGGCCCCAGGCTCCCCGAGGCCCCCCCGAGGCCCCCCAGGGAGGAGGGGGAGGAGGGCAAGGAGGAGGAGGAGTAGTTGGGCGCCGTCGGGCGACGTCCGCGGACCACGTCCCCCATCCTGGCTGGGCCCCTCCTGGGCCCCAGGCTCCCCGAGGCCCCCCGAGGCCCCCCAGGGAGGAGGGGAGGAGGGCAAGGAGGAGGAGAAGCAGTTAGGCGCCGTCGGGCGACGTCCGCGGACCACGTCCCCGATCCTGGCTGGGCCCCTCCTGGGCCCAGGATCGGTGCATAATGGCCCCCCAGGCTTGGCCAACGGGGGTGCCAGCACTGGCCCTGGTCTCGCTCCTGCTCCAAGGGAGGCATTTCACCGGTTCAAGAGGAGACAGCCTGGATGCGCCAGAGAGAAGGAGGAGCGCTGTGTCGCTGCACGAGGGCTGTCCCCAGCCCTGGCCTCTGGGTGGGCTGGCCAGGATCAGTCAGGTGGTCAATTGACGTCGCCCGCGTCTGCCACCGGCACACGGTGTTTTGCAGCTCGCGCCGGTGAAGTGGTTGGAGGGCCTCTGGTCGAATGGCCTACCCCTGTCAGCACTGCAACATCAATCGGGGCTCCTGCATGTCATGACTGTTTTCCGACGGGAGCACCACCAAAAAGCAAAAGACCAGACAAATCCATTGAGGCGGCGGCTGCACTGGTGAAACTGCAGAGCCCCAGCCCGATACCAGAAAACGTGCAGATGAACCTGCGAACTTGGCCACGTTTTTCCCGTGCTGGCTCAATATTTCGATGCAAGAATAAAAAACACCTTTGCCAACGCGGACCCCAAACAGAAGGCTATTGCACTGTGAACGTGTAAGCTGTGTGGTGCAAGCTACGTGGTGCAAGCTGCACGGTGCAATTAAATCTTGCCAACTCATGAGTGGTCAACTCCACTGGTGACGTAGTCATCGCACGCTCCTACCCGCAACTTGGTTTGCAACAGTCCATGCGGAAGCGATTACGGTGACTGTTTCGCCATTGCTGGCGCATCTCTGCGGCCGTGTTGGCGCGCGCAAGCTCACGCGCAGAGCGGCCAGCTGGCTTGGCACAGCCGATGCGGCCGCGATGGCAAATACCGATGGCAGCGTCCAGGCGCATGTCAAACTCCACGCTGGCTTGATGACGACGGCAAGGCCGAGGACGGCGCCGATGTTGGTAACGCCGATGACGATGCTCTTGGTCCGTGCGTCGATGATGAAAATGCTTGGTTGGTGACGCCGGCAACGGCGGCGATCGTCGATGACGATGACGTGATACGGCGCCGCTGGTGAGGGTGATGGTGAGGAAGTGCGCGCGTTCGCATGTGCTTGCTTTCCATGCGTGCGTTGCACGGTTTCCCCCGGAGCCGTAGGCGACCCGAGGAGGAGGAGGAGGAGGTGGAGGAGGGGGAGGGGAAGGAGGAGATGGAGGCGATGGAGGAGGAGGATGAGAAGGAGATGGACATGGAGGAGGAGGAGGAGGAGGAGGAGGAGGAGGAGGAGGAGGAGGAGGAGGAGGAGGAGGAGGAGATGGAGGATGGGTTCGCATGGCGGCCCCGCCCCATTTTGGCGCACCCCTCACACGGTTCGTGGCCCCAAAGGGAGCTCCACCGAAGGCCCCAGTGGCAAGGTTCGCATGGCGGCCCCGCGCCATTTTGGCTCACCCCTCACACGGTTCGTGGCCCCATAGGGAGCTCCACCTCAGGCCCCAGTGGCAGGGTTCGCATGGCGGCCCCGCGCCATTTTGGCGCACCCATCACACGGTTCGTGGCCCCATAGGGAGTTCCACCGAAGGCCCCAGTGGCAGGGTTCGCATGGCGGCCCCGCCCCATTCTGGCACACCCCTCACACGGCTCGTGGCCCCATAGGGAGTTCCATCGAAGGCCCCAGTGGCAGGGTTCGCATGGCGGCCCCGCGCCATTTTGGCACACCCCTCACACGGCTCGTGGCCCCAAAGGGAGCTCCACCGAAGGCCCCAGTTGCAGGGTTCGCATGGCGGCCCCGCGCCATTTTGGCGCAACCCTCACACGGCTCGTGGCCACACAGGGAGCTCCACCGAAGGCCCCAGTGGCAGGGTAGGGGTCGCCTAGGCCCTTCGGAGAAACCCTCCAAGTTGCTTTCCATGCGTGCTGAAGAGGACGGACTTCGGCACGCTCGCGTGGCCGGTGCGCGCATGGGGCCAAGATATGGTGCTAATTTGATACGGATTTTTGCGCGATGGGAGCATGCAGGGCGGGCTCTGGGCGGAGATTGTCAATTACACCAGGGAAAAAACCCAATCAAGAAATGGTTTGATCGATGAAGAGATCGACCAAGAACCCGGGAACCAGGAACCCACCGAAATCGGCCTGGAACCAATAACCAGGAACCTGGGAACCCGGAATCGGAAACCCGGGAACCCAGCCGACCACCAAAATCGGCGGGAAACTTTCGCCTAATCTTTCAATTTACGCTAGGACAGTGCAAGCACTGATTGGGGAAAATCATATGGTTCACTCGCGAATGCATCAAATGCGTGAAGGGTCATGCGCAAATCTGTGATGGAAAACCGTTCTTTGGTTTCCGTGTTTTTGAACCGAGTCCTGGCAGCGCAAGTGCGGCTGGTATCACTTCGGCACGTGCGCACGCATGTTGTGTTGACTTTGAGTTACATGGTTTGCAAAGGACTCTTGAAACAACATTTTGTTTTCTTTTTTTAACTTGAAACAACATATTTTGTGATTGACGACATTGCGCTCGTAGTATTGTTTGACCAGGATGAGAGGGAGGTGGGGCAGGGGCGGCGATACCCACCCTGCCTCGATTGGTACGAACTCACACGGGAAGTAAATAAAGGGAAATTAGGACACACAAATAAATACACACAAATAAAAATATCCCCCATATTTTCCCATATTTTCTGGGTTATTGTCTTCCCCCCCACTTCCCATATTTTCCCATATTTTCTGGGGAATCGACGATTAATTGTGTCTGTGTGTTTCTTTCCCTCCTGAGTAAACGGTGAGGCAGACCATCCGTAATGCGCAGTGCCGCAGTGTCCCAGGGTGTACAGGTAAGATCGGGGGGAAGAGGGTGGTAGAGTCGGTCCGTGCAAAACGAGGATCGATGTGGTGTAAAATATGCGATTCAAGCCACGCGGTGCAAGCTGTGCGGTGCAAGTTACGTGGTTAGCACGGCTGAAGATGCGTTGCGCCAGCTGCGCAGTGCAATACATGTGGCTTCGCTGTGCCGTGTAAGGCATGTCGTGCAAGCTACGTGGTGCAAGTTACACGTCGGTCAGAAAATGTAGGTAACAACATGAAGTAGGAAGGCGGATAAAGCGGATTGGGCCCAGGCCCTCCCAGAGAATCACCACACACAGCAATTACATGCCGACTCGTGCAGTAGGAAGGCGCTTGAAGCAGCTTGGGATCTGGGTATCCAGAAATACATACTTTCAACGACCGGCGTGTCTGTGGAGGAGGAGGAGGAGGAGAAGCAGGAGGAGGAGGAGGAGGAAGAGGAGGAGGAGGAGGAGGAGGAGGAGGAGGAGGCTTCAAACTGTGTGGCTATAGTGCCATCCGCGCGGCCGCCCGGTGCGCGAGGCGCCCACGCGGCGCTCACGCACGGCCTCGTGCGGGCTCTGG